TGAATACCCCAACACTGGAAGTCTTTAAGAAGATGTTGGATAGCCATTTGTCTGGAATGGTATAGGGTTTCCTGCCTAGGCAGGGGGTTGGACTAAAAGACTTCCAACGTCCCTTCCAACTCTGCTATTGTATTGTATTGCATTGTAAATGCAATGACAAATGAAATAATCACATCTAGTTTTGCATAGCTTTATCTAACTTTCTTGTTTTGATCAAATTGCAGACCCCAATGGGTAAGTGCTTGTGAAAGCTGCCTAAATAAGAAGCTTTATATCTTACCTGTCTGCGTCTTGATGGCCCATGCAGACATTCATTAGTGCATTACACACAAAGCTATAGCGACTTGGTGCATTGTCACTCAGAATCTTGCCCAACATTGAATATTTAAGGCTGCGAATGGAGGGATTCTCAATAAAATCCAACATGAATTCAGGATCCCATAACAAATTGGAATTTGAAGGTTGAACGTTGCTATATATGGTCTGCTTTACCTTTGAACAGGCACTACTAAAAAAAAGGAAACAGAAAGAATCAAGCAAGGAAAACAACCATTTCATACAAAACAAAGTTATGCACCTAATGAGTACTGGGTACAGTTTACTTTGCAACACTTGCTCATAAAGGATTGTACATATAAAATAACTGAGAAGAATTGAAACTCCAGTTTTCAAAGAGACCACAAAATACACAGTTGAACCAGCCAAAATTGCATGATTGAAAAGTATAGTGTTGGTCGCCAACCTTTCCAGCTCCATGGAGTGGCAAAAGTGGCAGGTTGGGAGAGGATGGCTTCGCACATGTGCCACTTGCGCAAATGGAGCTTCACACACTCTTTTGCCACTTGTGTAATCCTTTTCCCAACAGATCACTTGCAGTATATTGTCTACTAAAAATGAATAACAATGGGTCTCAAAACCAAGTAACTCCTAGTCAATTCTTGAGTGATGGATTAAGATGTTGCAGTACAACAAAGGAAAAATGTAAGAAGACTTTTCAATAGCAAGTTCAAAATATATATGACCCATAAGAGCCAAGGTGGCGCAGTGGTTAAATGCAGCACTGCAGGCTACTGCTAGATCAGCAGGTCAGTGGTTCAAATCTCACCCGCTCAGGGTTGACTCAGCCTTCCATCCTTCCGAGGTGGGTAAAATGAGGACCCAGA